AACGGTATCCCCTTAGTTATAGAACGTACCCCGAGTGGGTAATCTCCTCTTTGTCCTTCGCGAGGATCTTGGCATGAGCCTTGGCCGATGATGGATTTCCTGCCTAAAACTCTCGGGGTTGGCAGACCTGTCTAATACCCGCGCGGTTGACAGTGGATTTCCCGTATAAAATCCTCAGAGTTGACGGATGACCCTCCTACTTTGGCAACATTAGAGTTCCCGCGGAGAGACAGTACGTGGACCAAATGTAGTCTATATTGATAGGTGTGCACATGAGATAATTATGAACTTGGGATATAAGATGGGATATTGAAAGATTTATGTTCATACTACGACCATGCCAGTTACTTTTTTGTACTTTAATATTGTTCATGTGCATAGTGGTGAGCACTACGGATTTCAATTGTGCTCATCCCCACCTGCTCTTCACGGATGCAGGTTAAGCGTGTAACGCCCCGAAATTTATTAATAAAGGAAAATACTAGCTTTTGAGATAAACTAGCCTTTGTTAATAAATATTCATGTTAATGTTTAAGTCTAAGTTATTCAACTAAGTTAAATTCCAAGTTCGACGTTAAGTCGAAAATATATCCGGTTAATTTTATATATCAACCAAGTCAATGATAGTAATTAATCTCAGTCCGTTATATTAAACGAACATCAGCAGATTAGGATAATTATTCAAGTATTGACGTATTAATCGAATTTGAGAATATTCGATAAATCGTCAAAGATGAGTTTCGAGCCCAGTTAATAAGTTATTCAGAAATAAGTTCGACTTTAAGTCAAAAATCTATTCGGTTTAATTTATTTTAATAACCTAGTTAATTTTTATAATTAGTTCCCGAAACATTTATTTTATAAACAGACATTATTATTCGGGATTAATTATGTGAAATCGAGAATATTTGAATTAATATTCAAAGTCAAGTTTCGACCGAAATTATATAATTTCGGTCAAGATTAATTCAACTTTAATTGTACTTATACTTAGAAAAATATTCTAAGTATTTAAGTAAATATATCATGATGTAAGAAATGTCCATATGCTTGAGTATTTTAAGTTGAGTCATGTTCCTCAATTACCTAGGTCTTGCACACGCCCATCATTAGCTTATGCTAAGCTAAGTACCAAGATCAAGCTAAATAATTCCAAGCTTAAGCCATTGATTTTGTCGTGACAAATTTGGCCTAGGATAAGAATTTGTGTTGATTCACCTACTTGCTTGGAGTCGTGGCATTATATTAGTATTTCACTTGATGATTAGGCATGATAGAGCCACCAAAGCTCACGGCTCAAGCAAATGGCATCATATTATTGGAGCTTCATTTTCATCTTAAGCATCTTTTATCATATATAAATGAGCCATGACCGTGAGTATTATTTCCCATGAAAATCGAGCATAAGTCATAGTATAGTAATAAGCCGAGAGTTAATGATAGAAATATTGAGGGCATAAGGAAGGGAGAAGAACAAAGCTTACACTACGCATAGCCGAACACGCGAACAAGCACGCAATCCATCGTGCGTTTTACAAGCACTGCAAGGGGTATGCTCACTTTTATCCTCTTTTCATGTATTTGAGTTCATACTAATAAGATCATGTGGATATCATGTTATTCGGTCCAATTTTTTAGCAACAGCGCCTCGGAGGTGCTAAATAAGCCCTCCCGAGTGATTTGAAAATCTAACCGGCAAGTCCCAAGCAAATTATGCATATTTAGTATTTTCAAGTCATTCTATATTCAGTCATATGTGGGTTGCCGGAAGAAGTCGTCGGACGGCCGGTGAAAGGCCGACCGTAGTGCCTGTCCGCACATGGTGTGCGCCGGTTACAGCCGGCAGTCACTGCGGGCACGCAGGCAGCATGCGCACGCTCAGCAGTGCGTATGCGTAGCCACTGCCCAGCAGCCAGTAACGTGCTTCCGCAGGGCTGTGCGTAGGCGTGCAGTGTGCGCCAGTACGCGCCCAGCAGCACGCAGTCAGCCTGTGCGTATGCTCGTAGTGCGTAGACGCCTGGCAGCGCGCCTCGCAACGCACGTACGCGTAGCCAGCGATGCATAGCGCACGCTGCCCAGTCTCCACGCACGCCAGCACGCCCGACAGCGCTGATGACGGATCGTATTTTTATTTATACCGGGTTATGAATAATCGCGCACTCAGGGCCTTCGATTACTCACGATAGGTGTATCTAACAGACGCACTCGGCCTTCTCCTAGACACTGTGACTTCAAGATGCTCTAATGGCCTTCTCTCCGACACTGTATGTAAACA